CAAGAAGGACATATGACAAGTATTAATTCCAAAGAAATTTTAGGTGAAATAGCAGAGTAAACCTCAGAAGTATATCTTCAATGCACTTGTAGGCCTAAAGGACAAAAGTTCAGACAGCATTCCTAGGTGTATCACATCAGACAAGTATAAAATAAAAATAAAAACAGAGGACATACTGATAAGGCAACTGACAAATGCACTACACACTTCCTTACTGCAAAGCTTTTGGAGTCACTGAGCAACATAAATGAAAAAGGCATGACAACAGGACTACTTGGGAAAGACAAGGGAGAAGTAAACAAGCTCAGTTTGGCTAGGAAATAACCAAGGATCAACAGTAATGGTCAAAAGATATTTAAGGACTATAAACACTAAGTAAACAGAACTATTTAGGGTGATGTAACTAAGCATAATGGAATTCAACTGCAAAAGAAAAATTTAACTTGGTGTTAGGAAAACATCCTGACAGAAAGGTCTGCGGACCTCTTGTGGAAGTCTCTTCCGGAAAATCTTTAGTACATTTTAAGCACAATTATCTAAAGTATTAGAAGAGAAGTTGTCAACCCCTTTTCATAAAATACATTACATCCTAAATGACAGAAATTCTTACAGTTATTCAGACATGTACCCACGCCTACACTCAAATTTGCAGTCACGCTATGACCTTCTGGCAGTATCAGTAACTAAAATCCTGTGAGGCAACAGAAATGTTAGAAAGTACTTGCTGTATTTGAATTGTTTTAGCCTTTCTCTGGAAGTTGTTTATCATCTCACATTTTTGCCTCAGGTCCTTCCTCCTCCTTTTCTCAAGGAGCTTTTTTCCCATCCCACTCTCAAACAACCTTCTCTAACACCTCACTATGCTTGTACTCATCTGCCTACTGCTTCTCTTCTTCCTGCCCCTTTGGACATGTGTATCATAGAATCACAGAATGCTTTGGGTTGGAAGGGACCTTGAGAGATCATCGAGCCCAACCCCCCTGCAGTAAGGAGGGATTGAACCTTGTGAACTTGGCGTTATTAGCACCGTGTTCTAACCAACTGAGCTAACCCAGCCGCTCAGTCAGGTGGTCCTGTCCAGCAGGTCTGTTCGGAGCCTGTGCCTTACTCCTTTCTCTGGGACTTTCTCAAGCAGTGGTAACTCAGGAGCTCAGAACAAGCGTCATCTCTCTCCTCCTTCTGTTAAATAGCATGGCCCTGTAGAAGGACTTTGCATGGCATCTGTTTCTGCAGGCTAACAGAACTGTCTCTGCAGTGAAGCCCCTCTGCCTACACACATGAAAACATGAAAATGAAGGGCAGATCCAGCATTAGATCACAAAGGCAACTAAGTGCAGCTTTCACCCTCCAACATAAATTCGGGGGTGACCCCTGATCAAAGATTTGTAATCACATGAACATTATTATGGGAAAAGTACAGAAAAGAGTTTTCACTATGTTGTCTGTAGCCTTTTTTTGCTTTGTTTTGTTTTGACCTGTTTAATTCTTTCTCCATTTGACTACACTTCCTTCCATTGGCTACTCCATCATCTGCCAAGGCTTTCATAGCTCAGAGCCACGAGCAGTATATTTTACCTGAGCATGATGTTCTGGGCTCAAATACCACAGAGGAAAAAAAAATCCATCAAGATTGTTAAATAAAAGGTCATAAATCCAGCTCAAAAAGTTCCTGAGCTTCAGAATTCTGGGAGATGGGATGATGTACCAAGGGAGTATGACCTCCTGCTTGCTGCTTAGATGTTCATCCTTATCACCTGCCCTTGGCCACTGCTGAAGATAGTCATATGGTCTTTTGTCTGAAATGTATAGCTGTATGCAACACAAGTCAGCATCAGGCATCACCCTGATTTCAAAGTAGTAGGTCTCAGTGAAGCCATTACATGACTGTATTAGAACAGAGCAAACATGCTTCCTCTAAGAATAACAAGGTCACAGTGTTAC